CGGTAGGTTAATGTAATTGTGTTTTCCTTAATATAGTTGCGCTTTTAGATTTGTAGTTGCAGTTTGCACTTCAGGGCCACCGTACATTACGCTGCTCCAAAGTTATAAAATGCATAACTGTATTTGTAAGAGACGTCTGTTAGTAGGATAAATACGTTCTGGTCCCTAAAGTGTCTCCCTGACTGCATGGCTCTCCTCTTTTGTGTCTGTTTATCCATTAGGCAAAGTGGCTTTTGTGCAGCTGGCTGACCTCCTGAATATTGAAGTGATCACACTCAAGTCCAGACCACACCCACTTCAGAGTTTATTCCCCAACTTGTACGAGTCGGCTCCGAGCCGCTTGCTCTGCAGAGTGGTCCAACACCGGTGAGCGTCCGAACCACCAGCTGCTGCACCTTAAAGCGTCTGATGTAAAGTAAAACAAAGAGGAGGAAGGCTGATAAAAGCATTTGGATTCTGTGGTTTTAGACATGAACATTTCTTTTAATTTAAGGGGATTTGTCATCACTTTCGACCTGATCATCATGGTGAACGCCGTGTTTATCGGCCTGGATGAGGAGAATCCACTGATCTCCAACTCTGAGTGGGCTTTTCTGGCTCTCTACGTTCTGGAGATCCTGCTAAAGCTCTACGTCTTTGAGCCCAGGGCCTTCTTCTCCAAACACAGCTTCTGGAACTGGTGAGAGCCAGCTTGTTGCCTACAGCAATAATTATCCACTTCTGACTTTAATGGATTCCTAGGTAGAAATAAAATCCAAAATTATTGTTCTTTTTTTTTTCCTCTTGCTTTTTTTTCCAAATATATTATTTTTTCACAAGAACAAATAACTGAATCCAGTTGTTGCAATTAGAAGAATTGATGCATAAATGTGTGAAGGTCGCAGTTCCTTTCGCTTTAATGCACCACCTTTCTTTCAGCAACAGGTGGGGGAGGATCAGTGCAGAGAGAAGTCTAGTTTTTCTGCACTCTTTCTTTTTAAAGGTCCTTTGAACTTTAAAAATGATTTTATGGAGACATTTTTAGCAGTTATGAAACCATAAATTCATCCCTTTTCCTTTTTAATAACTAAATAATTCTACATCTATCTATTTCAATAATTAGGCTGTTCTGTTTTGGTTTATTTACTAATAAAATTCTACATCTTTTGGGAAGTTGATAATAACTTCCAACTAACTGAATTTCCTCCCAATACGGTAAGTCATGAAGCTGAGGTAGGTGACTGCTTTCCTTCCTGTTTGTATGTTTTTACCCACCGAGCTAAATGTCTGAAGCTCTGCGGACGGTTGCTGTTTGTTAAAGAAGAACCCAGAATCATGTTTTAAAGCTCTCTGGGTCTCAAAACGGCAAATTACAGGAAGTGAATGTTCTCTGTTAACAAACTTATACTGATTCTCTATTTACCTCATGAAAAACTAAATCCTATCTATATAATCAACGAGCCGTGTCACATCCGTCCCAAACAGCTTATCTACATCCCAGATTATAAGCACCAGGTATGTGGCACATCTGCCCCTTTTTTTATCAGCAGCTTTTTATTGCGTACATCCAGCCACGCTTGGAGCAGCTTTGATGCTTAAAACAGCCGTTTCATTTAGGTGGAAGCAAAGCAGCTTCTGAGCCATGGAGCTTCAAGAAAAAAAAACACAAAGGGGAAAATATGGCACCATTTGCTGCGCAAAAAAAATGCCATTTGCTGTGCGCTACAAAAAATTAAAATAAGTGTATTTACCCTTTTTTTGAGTGGGTTAATAAGATGATCTGCCAATGGAATTGGATCAAAATAAGACAATTTGCACTTGAACTATATTAAAACTATTATAATATGCACTTGAAATAAGATATTGCAGTTTTTTTTCTCATCTTAAATTTAAATTATTATTCCATTGGCAAAGTGTCTCCCTTACCTGCT